GTCACTAACCAGTAGGTGGCAGTAGTGTTCTTTGACAAACATGGATGCCTCCAGTAAAGCACATTCACATGTTTGAATGTTTGTTTTTGCGACAGTAAAGCGCTACCAGTGGCCTTCAGGCATGTGCCGATTTTCAAAAGTGACATGCCAGATACCACTTTGAGCTTTTACTATCATTATCTCAGCAACTGGATACCACTGAAAATAAAGCCAACTTAAAATGACTAAAGACAAGGTCCCTGGTCAAAGGTTTGACCAAAGGGTAGTAAAAGTTAAAATGAATTGAGAAACTGATATATTTATTGAATTACTTTAATAGGCTACCTTATTGATTTTGAACCGGTTCCATAATTAATGTCAATGATTGCACAGGCCTCTGTATAATGGTTTATTAATGCAAGGCTGACAATGTAAATCCTAATAAATATTCCTAATCAAACTTTCGCTAATTTTGTTGAAGACATTTTAACACCTCCAAGAGCATTTGTCAGTCCTGTTGGCTCGCATCAGAGTAATCTCTCGTTGGAGCGCTGATACCATACCATACCAACTTTATTTATGAAGCACTTTATGCACCGGACAGGACCAAATCATAAAATACAATAAAATCATAAAATAGGAAAAAAAAAAAAAACTCAGTGTAAAACACTTATTAGTATAGAAACAGAATAAAACAAAGTAAAACCTCTCAAATTGTGCCAAAAGTCAAGGAAAAAAGACGAGTTTTAAGAAGAGACTTAAAAACAGCAATAGAAGAGGCCTGTCTTCTGCTCAGAGGCAGATCGTTCTATAGCTTAGGAGCTGCCACAGAAAAAGCACGGTCCCCTCTGAGCTTGCATTTTGTCTTTGGGACCCTCGGAAGCAACTGATCAGCTGACCTGAGGGCAGTGTTGTGGTCAAGAAAGACCACCTAACCTGAGACCAAGACAAGACCAAGACTTTTAGGGTCCGAGACCAAGTCAAGACCAAGACCAGCGCCAGTATGTGACAGTAAAATGTGAAACATGATCAAAAATTGATCTAAAAGACCCACATTCACATAAAAACATATAGATATTTAACACAGAGAACTGGACTAAACATTAAAATTTTTATTTAGTACTTCTGTGTAGTAATCAAAATAGTATTTTCTCTGCCGTTCATGAACAGTACATACATTTATGTTGTTTTTAAATGTGCTATTTCAAAACAACGTGCAAATGTATAAAACTGAAAAAAT